TAATGCAGTATTAAATTCTAACCGCAAAATTTTTTTAACCCTGTCAAACTTTTGTTCCTTTCCTTTTTCCTAATATGATTTACGGTGATTAAATGTATCCAGGGATTAAACCATTTGTGACGTTGAGCCATTTCGACTATCCTCAAGAACTCGAGAACCAGTTTCAAAGTTGGTTAAGCCCAGAGATGCAGTAAGTAGTGTAATGAAACCTCTAACAAATCAGCTCTAAACATCAAATGTTAAAACTTTTCAGTTTCACGTTTTGCTTTGTAGGAATGATTTTGGATACTTGGCTGATATATGTTTTACACATTTTGGTGACCGAATTAAACACTGGACCACATTAAATGAACCAAACCAACAAATAATCCTCAGCCATCTAAAAGGCACCTTTCCGCCGTCCAGGTGCTCTTTACCGTATGGATACTGTACTCAAGGGAACTCAGAAACCGAACCCTTCATAGCTGCACATAATACGATCCTTGCTCACGCAAAGGCGGTTGACATATATAGAAAAAAATATCAGGTAATTAATATACTGATAAATTCAGTGTATATAGTCTTAATTAATAGTTACTACCAATATAACTATGATGTGATCTAGGAAGAACAAAAGGGAGTCATCGGCATTGTGGTGCAAACATCATGGTTTGAACCCATTAGTGATTCCATTGCCGATAGACAAGCTGCCGAGAGAGCTCAGTCCTTTTATTCAAATTGGTATGTTATTATCATTCTAATGATCTAAATTAACATAGATGTAACTTGAGATCAAATACTATATATTCTTATATATATTACGTGTTACAATATATATCAGGATTTTAGATCCAATTATATACGGAAAATATCCAAAAGAAATGGTAACAATACTTGGATCAGCTTTGCCACGATTTTCAAGAAAGGAAATGGAGAACTTAAAACAGTCAAGATTAGATTTTATTGGCATTAATCACTATACAAGTTACTTCATTCAAGATTGCTTGTTCTCAACTTGTAATTCCGGAGATGGAGCTTCTAAAGCACAAGGATTTGCACTTAAGTTAGACCAAAAAGGCAATGTTTCCATCGGAGAACTTGTAAGCCCATTTTAAATCTTAAAAAAAAAAATTTGGTACTTGTGAGTAAAATCAAGTATTTTAACATTATATTTTAATTGTTTTCTTTTTCTGTTTTCATGATAGACCGATGTAAATTGGCAGCACATTCATCCTGAAGGGTTCCAAAAGATGTTGAATTACCTTAAACTTAGGTACCACAACATACCAATGTTCATAACTGAAAACGGTACTATACTTCAAAACTTAACTAGCAATTATCGACTCATGTTTCTTTTTTGTTTGGATTATATAATGGACCTATGTAACCGATACTTCAGGTTTTGGAGACTTGCAGAAACCCGACACAACCGTAAAAGAACTTCTAAATGATACAAAAAGGATACAGTACATGAGTGGATACTTGGATGCTTTGAAATCAGCAATGAGGTAAATAGACTATGTGAATTATGCAAGGAGCCAACCTAGGATCTCAATTGCATGTAGTTAAACTTAGAACAATTTATTATAAATAGCTGATATCTACATTGACATATAATCCATGGTCTATAAGAACAGTAATTCTTTTGTGGATTTTGTGTAGAGATGGAGCAAATGTGAAGGGCTATTTTGCATGGTCGCTATTAGATAATTTTGAGTGGTTGTTTGGATACAAGCTTCGATTTGGGCTATTCCACGTGGATTATACAACTCTCAAAAGAACACCAAAGCAATCAGCTTTGTGGTACAAAAACTACATTTCTGAGCACATGATAAGAAAAGATGATTAGATATAAACATATGCATTTTCTTTTATTTATTAAAAAAAAAAAGGTCTCCTAATCAGCTTTGTGGTACAAAAACTACATTGCTAAGCACATTATAAGAAAAGATGATTAGATATAAACATATGCATTTTGTTTTATTTATTAAAAAAGGGTCTCCTAACACCTTGATGGTAATCGATCATAATGTTTTTGGATTGAATGATCACGGTGATCGATATGTGATAACGAAAAGCTTTATTTTGGATACTTTTCCAGTTTGTCTATTTTTTTGTCAACTTCCCATCGAAAAACTAGATAAAGTGGTGATCAGACGAGCTGATTCTCTTGGGAGCATCTCTGTTTGACCAGTCTAATCTATATGGGAAAATGTATAGCCTCTGGTTCTTGCTTCTTTTGCTAGCGCATCTGCTCGACCATTCATACTCTGAGGAATATGAGACAGACTCACATACTCGAAATCCTCTTGTAATCTCTAGAACACCTCGATCTTTGTCGCGAACGTCGGCTAGTCCACCGGGTTTGTAGTCATATCCACTAGGTCCGAGCAGTCCGTCTCAAATCGTATCGAAGTTATCCTTCTGTCTCTCATACATAAGGCTGCCCAAAGTAAACCTTCCTTCTCAGCATGCAGAGCGAAGAGACTCCTCTTGCACGCCCGTAATCCAAAAAATTTAGAATCCATTTGATTCTTAAGAGTCCACCTTAAGCCACTAACACTGCCATTACCGATGCATGACGCATCAATTTGGCAGGTAGGGATTTGAGGTATCCAAGGTGACACTGTCTCAATCTCTGCAGAAGGGGGGGGGGGTCGTCATGCTCTTCGTTTGCTTCCCCATTTTCGTTAGCCTTCCTCCAACATTCAGCCTCAAGAGACGCGTGTTGGAGGGTGTCAATCGGGATACGACTTTCCCATTAAAGAGTTTGTCGTTCCTTGCCTTCGAAATATACCAACATCCAGTTTATCTATTTATTGTTCTTCTTTTTGATGAAAATCAGGTTCTCAAGCCAATTTAGGTGTTTTTACTTTTGTGAGTGATCTCACTCGTCGCAGTCTATAACCGTTATCATTGATATCTTTTGTTTGCTTTGGGTAAAGTTTCTTACTTCATCATTGAGTATTGGATTGCAAAGATTATATATTTCTAGGGAGGAAGACAATTATCTCGCCTTTTATGTCGGTTTTTAACTATGTGCCAATACGATTTGGGTAATGACTTCATATTTTAATTTGATCCCAGTTGCGGTTTCAATGGTGAAGGTTAAATTCCTTATATTGATGGTAACATTATCATATACTGGATCCCATGAGTCCATAGGATCGCGTTATAGAGTATCACGTTTCAAATACAATGAATTTGGCTAACTTGTTCACCCATATGGTATAGATATTTAATTAGATGGTTCCTAGAATCTGTTGGATATTTGAGTGACTACATGTAATGTATTATTATATATGACTAGATACAATGTATCATTATATATTGAAATGACTAGATGTAATGTGTCATTTGAATCATTGCAATTATTTGTATGAACAATTGCAACTATTTAAGTGAATCCTTGCAACCATTAAAGTGAAGCATTGCAATTGTTTAAATGAACAAATGCAAATGTTTGTGATTGTAACTACTAGTGATGAATTGTTGCAACTTTTGGTGATAAACCATTGCAACCATTGATGATTAAAACATTTGGTAAAGAATCATTGTAACTTTTGGCCAACTATTGCAATTGTTAGTGCTAATAGTTGCATATATTGGTGGTAACCATTACAACCTGTCATACTCTATATAACGAGTTGTTGGCATTGGCAAATCACAACTTGTACAATCTAAACAAGAGAGAAACATCAGAAACTCTAGTTAGTAGATAGAGAGAGAGATTCATTGTTCAAAGATCATCACAAATCTTTAAGAAACACAAATAAGAATAAAAACTCTATTTGTTATTCTTGTATCTTAGCCTAGAACAAGAATTTGACTTTGATTATCTTATCTTACAAAGGGATTTCGTGTAACCCAAAGACTTGGAATAAAGTCGAAATACTCTTTAAGAAAAATATGGTGATTCAATCATATTATCTAAGTATATAGTTCACACTCATTCGGAATACCAAAACCCAAACTAACCAATATAATTATGGTTGAGGCTCCTTAAATCTGATGAGATTTTTGGAAGATGGTTTATATCCTTTACATCAATCTTAATCTTCAGAAATGTGTCCTTGAAGATAAAAACGACAGATCTGAAGAAATGTGTAAATTCACAGTTCCCGATTATAAGCTTGACTACCAGTGGTTTGTTATGTCGAGTGTCAGTATTGCCAATAGGGCCAATACCAGCTTCGGTAAAAGTGACATATATTTTCATCTAGCTTATGTGGTCAATTGCATGCCACACCAGCCTTGTTTTGATATTGCTTAATGTATTTTACCGAATTATTGCTCTCTTATAGCAACCCATGATTATGTTTATTCAACGAAAGACGTAGGTCATTTCTCTTGCATGTTGCCACTTAGGAGTGATTAAGTTTTTTTCACACAAATCTTTGCTCTCGGCGGAAGGTTCTTTCTGTTTATAATTTTCTTGAGCTTAGGCATGAAATATTTGGCGCCAACTTTACCAACACGTGATCGTTATAGCTTCTTGTGCAAGTCACCGCCTTCATGATCATCATCGTCGGAATAGCTGGGGCGCCCTCCCAGTATCAGATGTGTTCTATGATAATGGGTTGTCTTTCTTCACTGGTCTTGGGTTCATTGCATCTGTGCTTAATAAAAACAGCTCCTAGTGAATCAATCCGAGTTTGTTCTTCTCGGGAGCGATCTTGTGATCTATGTCTTTCTACATTATATAATGTGGTTACAAAAGCATCCAAGGGTATATAGAGGTAATGGGAAGAAACAGTTATGAAACTAAATTTTGTTTTAAGATTGCTTTGATTGTTAATAAAAACAACACAAAAAAACAAATTGTTTTAAAATGTTAGATGTCACATGTCACTCACATAATTGCTAAGTAACTTCTGTTTTATAGTATAAAGGATTAGGAAGAATTGTTTGCATCCAGTTGACATTGTACTCTAGCTGTAATTATTTTCTTGGGATTTACGTTAAAAAGAAAAGAAAAAAACAAAAAGAAAAAAAAATGATTAGGACTGAAATAGGTCTTGTTATGAACCGGATGATGATGTCTGAGTAGCAGGAGCAGGAGTAGTAGTGTCGGTATTAGTATTCTCATCAACAACCTCTATAGGTTTAGCCAAGAACTCAAGTGCTGTGACCACATCTCCCATGAATGGCCTAGTCTCTGCTTCTTCTTGCAAACACATTGTTGCAATTGCTAGCGCTTGATGCAATCCTTTTAATGGGTAGTTCCCTTTTAGATTCGGATCCACAATCCGTGTAAACATTCTTCTATCTTTCAATAACGGTTCTGCCTGCAAGAGAAACAAAAAAAGAAAAAAAAAAAAAAAAAAAAGAGAGAATTCAGACGGTTTCTTCCTTATCAAGTAACAACAAAATGTGTATAGCAAGACTCTTAATGTAAGTTAGTACCCAAGAGATCAAGTTTTGTTCTTCGGTTGGTCTGTCCCCATCAATGGTTCGTCTCCCAGATATAACCTCAAGGAGGACAACGCCAAAACTGTAGACATCAGATTTGGCAGTGAGTTGACCGGTCATAGCGTATTCAGGAGCACAGTATCCGTATGTTCCCATGACTCTAGTGGAGACATGATCTTTGCCTTCAGTTGGTCCAAGCCTAGCTAACCCGAAATCCGATAGCTTCGAGTTGAAATCCGATTGCAGCAATATGTTTGAAGCTTTGAAATCGCGGTAGATCACAGGAGGATCTGCGTAGTCATGCAAGTACTCAAGCCCTTTAGCTGCACCGTGCACTATCTTCATTCTCGTGAACCAGTCTAGACTTGGTGCCCCTTCCGGTAAGTCTGCAGAAGTATTAAACTTTAGACTAGAATGTAGAAGCTTATAACATGACAAGGGTTCACAACTTATACCGAATAAATGATCTTCCAAAGACCCATTAGGCATGAATTCATAAACGAGGACTCGTTGGTCGTCTTCAACACAATAGCCAATTAGATTGACAAGGTTTTGATGTTGAGCAAGACTCAATACCATCACTTCTGCAAAGAACTCTCTTGTTCCTTGTAGCCCATTCCTGTCCAGCCTCTTTACAGCCACCACCTAGACTTCTCATCATCCAATAAAAAACTAAACAAAATTATTCACCAGTTTCGTGCGCAACACGCATATAAAATGATTGAGGAAAATTTGAAAGGGGACCTGATTAAGGCTGGTGAGAAAGCCTTTATAGACTCTTCCGAAACCGCCTTCTCCAATCATACACTCCATGCTGAAATTGTCAGTTGCAGCTATTAGTTCCTTGAACTTGAAGATTTTGCCGCTTGTTTTCACGTTACCATATTTCTTTATCTCGTCCGTTATGTACTTCTGCCTAGAGCTTCCTGTATTTATTACATCAAACATTTTCATAAACAAAATGATGATCAAATATTTGAGAAGATTGATTTGCATGAAGACTAGGTACCTTTTCCACGTGAGCGAAATGTGAAGAGAGCAAAAAGCTTACTGCTATGACCTCTATAACCTGTAAGACCTTCATCAAATGAATCTCTAGGCGAGTTAGGTAGTTGTTGTGGGTTGCTAAAACAAGGACAAAACTTCATCATCTTTTTCTTCTTTCTTTCTTTCTTTCTTTCTTTTTCTTTTGTGTTCTTTAGACAAAACAAACAAACCCTTTCAATGAAATCCCAAGGAAAGATTGATCTTGTCTCTTCGATCGATCCTTTCAGATCCAAACCCTGTTTGGGCAAAATGAATCTGAAAGAAAGATCAGACCTTTCCCAGGAAAATGATGAAGCATGACAGGAGAATTTGAGGGAGAATCACAAAGTCTTGATGTCTCTTGTTATATATGAATGTTCCCACGTTTGGATCCTCTCAAAATTGGATTAAAGAGATTTATTTTTAGGGTTCTCTTCTCTGTTCGATTATTTGTAAGAAGCCAACGCGTCTGCTTTCTAACGAACCTCAAATAAATTATTACTCAAAATCATAGTTCGTGGTGCGCATGTACAAAGAAACTTATATTTTTTATATGGTCATCATACTAAGTATAAGATAAACATAAGAAGACAGATCGATATAAAAGACATATGTGGCATACGGTTGAGTGCTGATAACCATTAAGACAGGCTAAAACTGTTTCAATGCTTTGACCAATCATACAGATAAGATCAATGCTCAAAATCTCTGATACAGAAACCAAAACTAATAGAGAAACCTCTGACCAAGTTGATGATTCTTTCTGAAAAAATAAAACAAACATGAGCCAGCATAAAACAGCGTTGTCTATAGCTGCCAAGATCAAATGCTCAAAAGATTACACTATCTCTTATTTCATTGCTGAAAAGTAAAGCTATCAAGGCACCTGTAAAGAGAGAAATTTGAAAGTACCAATCTCGAACGGTCAAAGCCTCAAATATCTTTCATTCACTGAGGCAATGCGGCTTCGACTTCATCCCACAACTCGACATTTCTAGAGAACTTCTCTTTAACTTGCGCAATGAGCTCTTTCGCCTCTTCGACCTTTGAATCCTTAGCTAACCCATTAACAAGCGACTTCATGATACCGAAACTCGGAACCCAATTCTTCTCCATACTCTCTTTACAAACAGTCAAAGCCGTCTCAAAGTCTCCACCTTTACACAAGTAATAGACCAAAGTGAAGTAACATTCACTATCAGGCTTACACCCTCTGTTCACCATACTCTTAAACAACTTCTTCGCCTCATCAAACTCACCTTCATTACAAAACCCATGAATCAAATGCCCATAAGTAACAGCGTTCGGCTTCATCCCTGAAGACAACATCCCATCAAGCAAAGCCTTAGCTTCTCCAGATCTCTTCCTCTTACACAAACTCTGAATCCGAATGTTATGAGTCGAAACACCGACGCTAACGCCGCGCTCTTTCATCATCGCCATCACTTTCCCTACATCATCCTTCTTATCCTCTCTGTAAAACCCAGCAATCATGAGACCAAAGGTGGAACTCGTAGGCTTCACCCCTTTCCTCTCCATCTCCGCGACGATGGAGTACGAGGAGCTCGCGGAACCGGACTCGCAAAAGACTTTGATCATACGGTCGTAAGTCTCGAGATCAGGCTCGATCTTATACATCTTAGGGAACTCAATGTAAACGCGTTTCGCTTCCTTGTAATCCTTAGCCACCAAGCAAGCAAACAGAAGAGCGTTTAGAGACTTCACCGTGCGTTGAATCTCGAGCCTCTCGAGATCGTTGAAGATCCGTAGAGAGTGGTCGAGCATGTCGGCTTGCGCGTAGAGGACGATGGCGTGAGCGGCGAAACGCTCCGTTTTGGCATTCTCGACGAATCCGTCGAGGAGATTCGTCACGGCGGAGAAGTGTTTGTTCTCCGTAAGGCTTTGAACGGCGGCGGAGAAAGCCAGGCGATCGAGGTGGCAATCGGGGGTGAGGGACGCGGCGCGGCAGATTTCGAGGATGCGATCGGGGCTTTTCTCGGTTTTGAGGAGGGAGAGAGCGGTTTTGCTCTTTTGCTTGCTGGTGAGAGGGGTTTTGGAATCGGGTGAGAGGATCGATGAGGCGGAGGAGAGGGAGCGGATTTGAGGGGAGGGGTTGAGGTGACGGAGGAGAGAGGCCGATGAGCGGATTCGGGAGAGTAGCGCCATTGATTTTAGGGTCTGTTGATGGTGCTCGAAGAAGAAGTGGAGGAGGAGACGGCGAAATGGAGAAGACTTGTGTTTAGGGTTTTTGGGCGAATTAGGAAATTCGGATAATTTCAGCCGTTAAAGGGTTCTTTAAAAGTCATTACTAGGACGGCTGAGATGAGTTCACTATGAAATAAAATTAAAATTTAACATTGTTTCAGACCGTAATCGAACCCAACGAACACGCAACCTTCTGTTCTGTTTAGGCTTTGGGTGAACCCAACAACGAACACCCACCAACTAGAGATGGCAATCATAGATCTCAGAGGTCTGGCCCGTAAAAAACTGTTGTATAATGGTATTGGGATGAGATTTTTTAGGCCATAAATTTGCGGGCCTCACAAAATGAGTTTTTGTGGGACTAGATTTTTTGCAGGATATGTCGAAATAGGTTCCGCAGGATTACAAGGACCCGCATTTTTTTCTTTAATTTTTTTTTTACCTGAAAAACGAGAGAATGAATGAGAAGAAAACGATTCATGTGACTTCCCCTCAATAAATGTAAGGATCTGGGGCGATGATGATGATTCGAGCTTCGATGATAGTGATTCGAGCTCCGGTGATGACGACACAGTTCCGATGATAACGATTCGAGCTTTAGTAGTGTTGATTTGATTTTTCTTTTTATTTAATTTTTGAATCCAGCAAAGTAAAATATTGGTTATGAACTTATGAGTTATAAGATAATGAAAAATATCATCTGCAATTATTTTTACTTTGTTGTTAATATGTTCTAGGTGTGATACAAATAATTACAATTATTGTTTTGAATCAAAATAAGCAAAGCAATTGATGAATTATGTTCAGTTGAATCGAAGACTTGAACTATGTCCTAGAATTGTCTGAAGCATTTTGGAGTGGCTTAAATCGTTCTGCTGCGCGTATTATGACATGTCCCGTGGGATCGCCCGCGAAGGTCTACAAGAAATATGGTACTGGATTGGGCAGCTGTTTTCAACACTGCATCCCACGCGGGATAGGTCCGCCACGTCCCGCTAGAAGACGAACCTGCAGCGATCTGAGACGGGACGGGACGGGAGAGCCCAATTGCCATCTCTACCAACAATGCAGATCAAGCATAACAAATGCAAGTCATGCAGATCAAATAGAACAAATGCAAATTAAATATATCACGTAAATTTTAATAAATTATTATATTTAAATAAATATTCAATTTTTAATGAAAATTAAATATCTAAACAAAATAGAACTTATTTTAAATAAGTAATAAATTTCAAATTGATAAAAATAGCAATTAATATCATCATTTTAACAAATATAGTGAAATTATAAATTATATAAACATTCATCACAATTAAAAAATTATAGATAGTATTCTTATTTTACTTTTTCTATCTTTATTTGTTCTTCTGTTTCTTTCTTACAATTTTAGTTAACTATAAAACTAATTTTTTTCAATTTTATATATATTATTGTATAAAGTAATTTGTAAAATAAAGCGCTGGAGATTTTGAATTTACGATTCGAGTTGGGTCAAATTATTCGGGTTAGAATGTTTAGAATTAGTTTATAAACCAAACATTTTTAGAATGGATTCGTTTGAATAATTAATTTTGGGTTCATGTCATATTTTTTAAACCCAAAACATAGTCGAATTAAAAATGGTTTCGATTTACTTCGAGTTTAAAAAAAAAAACCTTTTAAAATCTTAGTTAAAACCCCATAATCCTAGAAAATATCAAAATAAGTCGAATGTGGTAAACAAATTTTATTTAGAAATTATAGAAATTTCAAAATTAAAACAGTAATATTTTATTATATTTTGGATATTTGGGTATATGTTCAATTTTGATTCAATTTTTATTTTCAGATTTAAAGAAGAGTATCCGTTCAGGTTTTTGTAAATTTTGGTTTAGTTTCATTTTTATTTTTCGTTTATATTCTGGTTAATTACTTAGTATAGTTATATATTTTATAGCTACTAAAATAATGTGTAAAATATTTTTATAGAAAATTATGTTAAATTTATGAATATGTCAAGTAAGAAACACACACACACACACACACACATATATATATCTAAGTGTTTTTAACATATTATAGAAATTCTTGGTTAGTTTGTCAAAAAAGAAATTCTTGGTTAATAAATAAATAAATAAAATTATGTGAATTATTTATAAGGAAACGAAAAGAAGAAAAAGAAAATCACCATTGGGCCTCTGATTTTGATTACTTTCTTTTTTTTGCTGTATTTACACTATAATTTTTTTAGGGATTTTTTTAGGATTTTCTGCAAAAAAACTCACAATGTGTTTTTTTTTTGCAATTTAATCCACCAAATCAAAAACCCACGGGTTAACTCTCCAAGTTTCAGTCAAACCACAATATAGGTCATCTGTGTATTGATGATGTGGCAGCCGTTTACTATTTAACATAATTCAAAACTACGTCGTTTTGATATTAAAAATTAAATTAAAAAATTGAATCCAACAGGATTCGAACCCAGCATCACAACACAACTTGTGATGCTCATAAACCAACTTGACTATCAAATACATTCGTTGATTATTAAGATGAAACCGTATATAAAGAAATTGTTACTGTGACCTGAAACATTTAATTAAAAAAGTGTATGTGTGTGGTTCTCTAGGTTCACCTGGTGGCCACTGATCTTGTACATCCTACAAGTACAAGATATGTCACCTCTCATCTTCACCACAAACCTATCATTGAAGTACCCAACTTCATAATCTCCTAATCCACAACTCAAAGGACTGCAATTCTTTGCAAGTTCAATCTGTTTTCGAGTTTTGCAATTGATTTGTAAGTGTAGTTTGCCCTACACTTAGCAGCTTCAGCTCTTTTATTGTGGTTGCTCACCATTACCTTTCTTCTAATATCTTCAAGCATTTCCACAACTGGTTTTGTTCTTTCTATCCTTATGGCTGCATTAAATGATTCTCCTAATTTGTTCTCAACAGCAACAGAAGAGGAGTATTCTGTGAAAACTGCTCTTGACCACGGGCAAGACCGAGAAGTCTTCAAATCATCATATGCAGCGACAGAAATCTTTTTCAACTCTTCCACCTTCTTCTCAAAACGTGTTATGTAGTAAGCATCAGCAGCACCCCAGAACAGATCTTCGAACACAGCCCCACCATATTTCTTCTTCCAATTGGAGTACAAATGTCGAGCACACATCCTATGCTCAGCATATGGCAACACATCTTGAACTGCTAATATAAGACCTTTTTGTTGGTCACTTGCTAGAGTTAAACCATTACCTAGCTCTAGGCCTAGGTCTTCGACCAAATGCTCAAAAAAACATAACCAGTTATCTTTATTTTCAATATCCACAATGGCCCATGCAATAGGAAAAGTCTGTTCATTAGGATCTCTTCCACAAGCAATTAGTAACATTCCATTCATTCTCCATTTCAGAAATGTACCATCAATGTGGATAATCTTCCTACAAGCACTCTTCCACCCATCTTTAAGCGCCTGAAAACACACATAAAATCTATAGAATCTTGTCTGTCTCACCTCACATTCAACTGTGACCCAGGATATGAAGACAATATTCACTATCACTAACTCCAAAAGGATCACCATATTCACTATAACTAACTCCAAAAGGATCATCCTGCTCTATGATACCAGCTCTCTCATCAATCTCAGAATCACTAGAAGAGTCATTTACCTTATCATCCTCATTCACACTCTCATTCCCATTATCATCTTCATCTTCAGCATCATTCAACAAGCTTCTCATATTATGATGCCTACCCATATAAGGATCATCTTCTCTAACGATAAACAACATCATTGCTCCAGACCCAATTGAGTAATGAACCACTTTTGTCATTATCTCATCATCAGTTATGTCTTTTTTTCTCCCAGGAGTTTCAGGTGGAAACCATGATACTTTTTTCATATTGTCTTCATAGCCTATATATTTCACAAGTGTGAGAACCGATTGTAAGTTAAAACCATCAGCTACTCTTTTACCCCCTTCATGAACTTCACCTCCATGATATTCGTCTTTGCTACTCCAATATCCACCACAACGTAAATGGAGGTCAAAACTGTAAGGAAATTGTTCATCAGTGAGAAAATAAAGTAATATATCAAGAGATCAATCGATTCAAAAAAAAAATTCAATGTCTTTGGTTTCTCTTCTCAATTCACTTAAAATAGAGTACAGAACTGACGAAATTGTCTTAGATTATCATTAGTTCCAGAATCAACTAAAATTTTAAAGATTGAGTAGAAAAGCCCCAATTCTCCACTCTGTAAACCCTAATTTGCGACATATAATCTCCAAAAGACTTCTTTTTTTCGTTTTTAAAACGACTTTAATTGGAGAAGGTGCAGTTAAAATAACGAAACAAATTGTATATATAAGCTTGCGTTTGTTAAATTAGCGAATGTATCTGATAGGCGAGTTGTTTCGTTGCTTGATAAATTGAGCTGGGTGACGGCTTCGAGGTCCCGCAAATACAGTTTTTTAGTTAAATATTTCAGGTTGATGCCAAAAAAAAAGTTAAATATTTCAGGTCACATCAACAATTTGTCTATATACGGTTTCGTCTTAGTAATATACGAATGTATCAGATAGTCGAGTTGGTTTGCGAGTATAATAAACTGTGTTGAGGTGATGGATTCGAATCCAAACTTATTCAACTTTTTAATTTTATTTTTAATATCAAAACGACGTAGTTTTGAATTCTGTTAAATAGTAAACGACTGCCACGTCATCAATACACGGATGGTCTATATTGCGGTTTGTCTGAGACTTAGAGGATTGACCTGCGAGTTTTTTATTTGGTGGATTAAATTGCGAAAAAACCACATTGAGGATTTTTTTTGCAGAAACCCCATTTTTTACATGTAAAGTAATCTAGAAGCAAATTGAACTGCAATCTATTTATTCTGCATATTAAGCATGAATGGAAAAAATATACAGATAAAACTGCACTTTATTTCTTCTATCTTTTTCTGGATTTGTACTGCATCACGTTCATTAGATAACATACATATTGTATTGATATATATGCAATGATCGTTTGTAATTTTGTAAATCTCTGTGTTAGTGTTTTGTGTGTTATCTTATGTATAAAAAAGAATTATT